GAAGAATTAGGAATATGGAAAGTAGGCTATTATTGAGCTGCAGGAGATTACAGGGATAGAGAGCAGCATGGTGCTAAAGGATTTTAACTGTGTATTTCTGTCAGGTAAAAAGGAGGTGTGATGTTCATCAAAGATTAGTGTTCTTGGATTGAAAGTAAATCTGCAATCAAATGTTGCCATATGATAACAATTAAGGCTAACAATACCAAAAACGTTGACGAACATAGAAAATGCATATGGGAGATGAGAGGGCGCTTTAGTAAAGCTAAAAGTAGATGGGATAAAGGACATGACAGAAGGAAGTAGTAAAGACTTCGTTACAATTCCTGCGATGAAACCATGAATCAAAATAACCAAGTTTACTGAATGGTCCCTAAATGAAGAAATTGCCCACAAGATTCTACTTTTTGGAACTATTACTTGAACATGAATCGGAAGTAATGCATATTCAACATGAATTAACAGGCAAATACGTCTTCAAATTAATAGATACATTTCACTTTTAAATTGTTGATCTAACGAAGTTGTATCTTATACAATATAAGCACCTGGATCACTCCCAATGGATTCAAAGATGGCACAATGTACAATCCCACAGTCTTTTTAACTCAAATCGCTTTAGCTCTCGAGTTGTATTCATCAACAGGCAGATACCATCCGAGGTCCCTCCCTGAATACATTTAACACTTTGACAAACCAAGTCTCACTAACTTGTATCAGTCTTGGTGAAGTAGCCTTCCAGAGTTCCTTTTCAACATTATCCAAGGAAATATTGGAGAAATTGGGCTTGGAGCAGAGAAGATTAAAAGGTGACTTGATTGAAGTGTTCAAAACTATGAACTATTTTGACAGGGTAAAGAAGGATATTTTGTTTCCACTAGTTGGCATGCCATAATTTCAAAACTGTCAGCAAAAAAGCTCGGAGTGAGATGAGGAGAACCTTCCTTCCTCCGAGATTTGTTAGGATTTGGAATGTGCTGCCTAGGAGAGTGGTGAAGGCAGATTGTATTGGAGGTTTCAGAAGAGAGCTGAATTTAAATTTGGAAGTGATGAATTTAAGGGGCTATGAGATGGGGCTGGAGAATGGGACCGGCTGTGTAGCTCTTTGGAGAGCTGATCCAGACAAGATGGGTTGAAAGCAATGTAAAATTCTATGGTCCACTGATAACAAACTCTCAGCTCTTTCATATGGCTGAACTATTTGCATTGAATTTTGGGATTCAGTCCCTTTTACTTACTTCCCCAACAGCTTCTGTAAGTCTGTTGTGATTACAGGGTCATAGAGAATTAGAAACATTAAGTTTGTATTAACCATAATTAAAACATGGTTAGAGTATGTGTGTAGTTTTAGATGCTCTATAATAAGGAAAGGGTATTAAAGTCTTGGGTTTTCAAAGGCGATTTTTTGAGACGTTTTCAGGAATTGGAAACTTTTTTTGTGAAGTCAGCCTTCAGATACTAGTATGATTTCCATGAGGGAAGAGAAGGCTAAGAGAATATTTCTTTGAATAATTTTATATTAAGAAGAGTTTATGTGGAATTAATGATTGAATATAGATTACAGATGGTAGAATGAACAAAGAAACTCAATTTCCTTTGGTTGGGCAATCAACGAATCACAGTTATCAATGTATACCACACAGCTAATCTTTGGGCTAATCTTTAACCTTTAGTCACATTTATGTGCACGTAAGGTCATTTCAGAAAAAGCAGAAAATACAGTAAATAGCTAGCAATTTTTTAATTAAACAGCCAAGCTGTTTCAAAACATTTAATTTCATCAAATATGTTAATCTTTCCTTTCAGTAGTTTTTGCCTAGATCTTGGATGAAGTGTTATCTTGTTGAAGACTCCATAAAGCCCCTTCTGCTAGTAGTGCCATTCTATTAGGATTTGATTTCAACCTTGATTTTTGAAGCAACCTCACTTACTTACACTAGTCTTTTGCTTTGGTCAGACAATTAAGATACTAATCATTTCTACAGCTTAAATATGCAAGCTGTGAGTAGATATCTTATGATGGCTCATATGCCTTGGGCACATGGTCAAGACAAAAGTAGATGAGCCATCAGGAGACTGCTATGAACGTCTTGTCTATTTGAGTGAATAAAGAACAAGAACAAAGGTCAATACAGCATAGGAACAGGCCCTTCAGCCCTCCAAGGCTGCACCAACACATTTTGCCCTTCCATACTAAACCTGTCTTCACTTACAGAGTCCATATCCCTCTGTTTCCTTCCTATTCATATATTCTTCCAGGTGCTTCTTAAATGCCGATATTGTGTCTGCCTTCACCACCTCCTGTGGCAGCATGTTCCAGGAACTCACCACCCTTTGCGTGAAAAAGTTGCCTCGCACAACTCTTTTATACTTGCCCCCTCGCACCTTGAACCTATGTTCTCCATTAATTGACCCCTCCACCGTTCCCTATTAATTGACCCCTCCACCCTGGGAGAAGGCCTCATACTTTCCACTCTATCCATGCCATTCACAACCTTATAAACTTCTATCAGGTCACCCCTCAAGCTTCTGCGTTCGAGTGAAAACAAACCCAGTCTATCCAACCTTTCTTCATAGCTAAAATCCCCCATACCAGGCAACATCCTGGTAAACCTTTATTGTACCCTTTCCAAAGCAGCCACATCCATCTGGTAGTGTGGTGACCAGAACTGTATTCCAAGTGGGGCCTAAATAAAGTCATCATCATAGAATCCCACAGTGTGGAAACAGGCCATTCAGCCCAACAAGTCATCACTGACCCTCAAAAGAGCATCCGACTCAGACCCACCCCCCAAACCTGCATTTCCCATAGCTAATGCACCTAATTTACACATCACTGAACACTATGGGTAATTTAGCATGGCCAATCCACCTAACTTGCACAGCTTTGGACTGTGGGAGGAAACCAGAGCACCTGGCAGAAACCCACGCAGACACGTGCAAACTCCACACAGACAGTTGACTGAGACCAGAATCAAACCCAGATTCCTGGCGCTGTGAGGCAGCAGTGCTAACCACTGAGCCACCATGCTATTCTATAAAGCTGAACATAACCTGTCTATCCTTATATCCTTATGCTCAATGTCCCTTCTAATGAAGGCAAGCATGCCATAAGCTTTTTTTACTACTTTATCTACCTGCACTGCCACCTTCAGTGATGTCTGGACCTGCACACCCAGATCCCTCTGCATATTAATACTCCTAAGGGTTCTGCCATTCAGTATGTAATGTCAACCTGTACTTGACCTTCCAAAATGCATCACCTCACATTTGTCCAGATTTAACTCCATCTGCCATTTTTCTGCCCATGTCTCCAAATGATCAATATACTGCTGTGTCCTGTAACAATCCTTCTTACTGTCCGCAATTCCATCAATCTTTGTCTCATTCGCAAACTTACTCATTAGACCAGCCACACTTTCCTCCAAATCATTTATTTAGATCACAAATAGCAGAGATCCCAGAACTGATCCTGTGGAACACCACTAATCACAACCCTCCATTCTGAAAAGCATCCTTCCACCGCTACCCTCTGTCTCCTATGACAAAGCCAGTTCTGTATCCATCTGGATAACTCACCCCGATACTATATGACTTCACATTTTGTACCAGTCTACCATGAGAGACTTTATCAAAGACTTTACCGAAGTCCATGTAGACAGCATCAATCGCTTTTCCCGCATCAATCATTTGCATCACCTTAGTGGGGCATGACTTCCACACCCCACAAAACCATGCCGTCTATCCCTAATAAGTCCATTTGCCTCTAAATGCTTATAGATCTTGTGCCAAGTGCTAGAAAATTAGTACCTTAATTGTCTGGCCATTAAGAAGAATCTGTATAAGTAATTGAGACTGATCTTAATCTCTGATTTTAGTTGAAAAATAAAAGAGCTGTTGTCCTTTTACAGATTACTAATTTCATTTAGAGCAAAGCTACTGTATCTAGCTGACTTGCTTATCAATCAATTGGTCTGCTGTCATGTAGTCTGCTGGTATTCAGAAATTCTAGATATTTTCTAGGTCGTTTTATGTATTGCCCGCTTTCCCAGGCACAAAGTCAAAAGAAAATAGCTCATCATAGCTTTTTTTTTAAAATTCCATGATTCTGTTTATCTGATGTTGTAGATGAGACAGGAATTGAACCCACTGAGCACATGACAAAGCTCTCCTTCCATTGCAGAAGAATCCTAAATTATAAAGTTGGCATTCTCGACCCAGCTTTTAGTGGGTTCAACATAAAATTATTCATAATTTGGCACAAATTAGTACCAAATTAGTAGTTTTGCTCAGAGAGCAGGACTCTGAAATTGCTAGTATGGGAAATCGTGAATTTTCAAACTAGGTAGAGTGAGTTTTACTCCTCGAACACACCATCCTGGGTTCGCTTATTGCTTACGTGGGATACAGTAACAACATTTTCTGGGATGAGCACAAAGGGAAAAGAGTTACACTGGTGTTGTCCAATACAGTTAAGCTTAAGGTTTGTTATCATGCCCTTAAACCTCAGTTAAAACAATGCAGAGAGAAACTTGGTACAAACGTGTTAAATATTCATTCATCAGTATTCCTGACAATAATTTTTAATCTTTTATGCTTCTGATTTTCATATATGTAGTAATTTTATTATGTGTTGGGGCTAACCAATTTCTCCTCAACGAAAGCCAGTGAAAGTAACTTGTGTTTATCATGGTGCTGCATGAATATCTATAGCACTTTTGGCCAACTTAACACATGTCACACCTGTTGATCTAGAATATTAAGGAACACAGCAGACAAACAAAAATGCAGCAACATCCTTATTTTTATCTGTTGTGCCTAAGACAAAATTCCATGGCAATTAAAGATCCTGAGAAAGTTTGAATATTCTCTGCATTTGGCAGCTGATAAATACAGTTTCAAATATTTTCACAGCTATTATCACGCTTCAAAGCATTTTCAAACTAAGCAAATAGTCATGTTTAAGCAACTGGGATTTTCAGTTATTGTTTTCTTTTCAGACTGTAGCTGAACTTCAGACTACTATTACATCCTTAAGGGAAGAGAACAGCCGACAGCAGCTGGCTGCAGAGAGACAGCTCCAAGAAGCTGTGGGAAGATGTGAAGATGAGAAGAGACTGTTGATTAGAGATAATGATAGAAGTATGAAGGTAATCAAAGAGATTTTTAACACCTTTGTGTTTCTGTTATATTGCAAACGTTGATGGCAGTACCATCTTATCTGATTGTTGTGGTATTGGATCAGAACAACGTTCATACATCTAGCGAGGCTGATAGTACTTCAGACCCAGCTAGCTTTCTCATGAGACTTGCTGAAATATTATTTATCTCTGCCTACTTGTGGTTCTCAATTCAGGACTGATACAGGCTGCTAATGATTTCTCTTCATTTACTCACATTGCCAACAATGTGTCCAAAGGGCTGGCTTTGATCCTTGCTCTTCATCAGCTGCAGACTACCCAGGCAAGATCAGCTTCCAGCATGACCTGCAAATGTGACCCAACTCCTCCACATTGCCTCCTTTCTGGACCAAAGTTTGTTCATGCATTTTGGAACCAACGGCTAAAAGCTGCAGCTGCTGGAAACCTGAATCAAAACAGAAGATACCGGCAATTCTCAACAAATTAGTTAGTATTTGTGGAAAGAGAGTGCAACAGATGAGTTAACATTCCAAGTGCTGACCCTTTTTGGCAGAGCCAAAAATGTTTCCTTTTTGGTTTGAGGGCTATTTTTGATTGTCAGGGCTGCCTTTTCATTCTTGCTAACACATTTGTGGGGTGATGCTGTCACCTTCGGCTCTGGGTTGATGTATGGGGTTTGTGGATTCAATAGAAGCATAATTAGAGGAAGTCATCAATATCTTCAATGATTATCAACCCAATTAAACTTAAAATCACTTAAATCATTAATTTCCTGGAACCACAGTATTTAAATTGACATAAGACTAAAGGCATAAGTTAGCAAACAACCTTTTTTCAAAATAACTGACACTTACTTCAGCACAAAAAAAGCCTTCACCACAAACACACGTTATGCCGATTGGTGAGGTTACAGCTATGCATTTTCATCGCATATTCACAAAGCTGTAATATTTTAACCAGATAGTCACTACATTGTTTTACTGCATCGCAGAACATAATCTCAAATTTAAATTTAACTTTTGATAATGTTCATTACAATAGAATCCACTATTGTCTTTCCCACATCTGCAGCCTTAAGCTGAAGATAACACATTAATTTGTAGATAATTCACTACCTCATTACAAGATTTCCATTAGCCTCGGCAAGAAAAGCATCTGGTTGTCAAGTCCGCGACCTCACACTACCCGACAGCTCCGCCCAGTCCAGACCTGTGCATGCACACACACGCACGTACACACTCTCTTTTTCTCTCTTCCCTCACCCCTCACTTTCTCACTTTTCTTTGTTTGGCTTCTCCACGTGAGTGAGTTTTCTAGGGCAATTTGGAGATTTCAGGGTGGATTCACTCACTGCCCCTGTATATCGTGAGCATTGCTTTATACAGTACTCAAATTGCTGACAGCTGCTGAGTTTCTGAAACAATTTCTGCTTTTAATTCTCAAATTTCTTGTCTGATATGAAGATTTAGATGAACCAAACTTGTTTGCATCTGACCGTTGGCTAGCTTAAGGAATTTATATGGAAATTACACAATCGGAACTGACCATTGAGTCCCAGTCTGACTTTGAAAACGTGGTGCAATGAGTAAAAATGCAGATAAATATCAGTCAATATGAGATATACATTTTGATTTGAAAAATAACTAAGGGACAGCTGCATACAAACAGTAATCCTATTGCTGTGAGCCTCACCTCTTTCCTGATCTCTAACCTCCTTTGCTCCAGCCACCAATCTAATCTATTCTTCAAAGTTTATACGATCTCACCTTCAAACACACTTCGATAGTTCACTCCACAGCAGTAGGTCCCTCTGTAAAGACAAGGTTCTCCTGTTTTTCTATAGCCTCTTTATTGCCACAAACGTTAAGAAACAAAAGGAGGAGCAGAGTAATGTGGTAAATTCCACTTAAGAAGTCAATTGGGACAAACTTTTTTTGTTCACTCACTGGGCATTCCTGGCTCGGCCAGCATTTTTTGCCCATCCCTAGTTGCCCTTGAGAAGGTGGCGGTGAGCTGCCTTCTTGAACTGCTGCAGTCCATGTGCCATAGGTAGACCCACAATGCCATTAGGGAGGTAATTCCAGGATTTTTACCCAGTGACACTGAAAGAATGGTGACATATTTCTAAGTCAGGATGGTGTGTGGCTTGGAGGAGAACATGCAGTGGTGATGTTCCCATGTATCTGCCCTTTTCCTTCTAGATGGTAGTGGTCATGGTTTTGGAAGGTGCTATTGAAAGGAGCCTTTGTGAGTTTTTGTAGTGTGTCTTATAGATGATGCACACTGCTGCGACTGAGTGTTGGTGGTGGACTGAGTGGATGTTTACAGATGTGGTGCCAAACAAGCAGGCTGCTTTGGCGTGGAAGATGTCAAAGTTTTTGAGTGTTGCCGGAATCACAGTCAACCAGTCAACTGGGGAGTATTCCGTCACGCTCCTGACTTGTGCCTTATAGATGATAGACAAGCTTTGGGGGAATCAGGAGGTGAGTTACTTGCTGCAGGCTTCCTAGCCTCTGATATACATTTGTAGCCACAGTGTTTATATTGCTTATCCAGTTCAGCTTCTAGCCAATGGTGACCCCCTAGGATGTTGACAGTGGGGGATTCAGTGATGGTAACACCATTGGATGTCAGGGGATAATGGTGACAATTCTCTCCTGTTAATGATGATCATTGCCCAGAAGCAAATGTTACTTAGCGATAGCAAGAACTGCAGATGCTGGAGTCAGAGACAATACAGTGAGGAGCTGGAGGAACACAGCACATCAGAGGAGCAGGAAAGTTGACTTTTCGGGTTGCGACCCTTCTTCAGAAATACTTGCCACTTTTCACCCTAAGCCTAGATATTGTTCAGGTCTTGGTGTATTTAGGATGTGAACTGCTTCAGTATCTGAGGAGTCGTGAATTGTGCTGAAAGTTATGCAATCTTTGGCAAACATCCCCACCCTGACCTTATGATGGAGGAAGGTCATTGATGTAGTAACTAAAGATGGTTGGACCGAGGACACTAGCCTAAACATAGAAACACAGAAGATAGGAGCAGGAGGAGGCCATTTGGCCCTTTGAGCCTGCTCCACCATTCGTCACAATCATGGCTGATTGTCCAACTCAACAGCCTAATCCTGCTTTCTCCCCATAATCTTTGATCCCGTTCGCCCCAAGTGCTATATCTCTTGAACACATTCACTGTTTTGGCATCAACTACTTCCTGTGGTAATGAATTCCACAGGGCCACTACTCTTTTGGGTGAAGAAATGTCTCCTCATCTCCATCCTAAATCATCTACCCCAAATCCTCAGTCTGTGACCCCTTGTTCTGGACACACCCACCATCAGAAACATCCTCCCTGCATCTACCCTGTCTAGTCCTGTTAGAATTTTACAAATCTGTATGAGATCCGCTCTCATTTGTCTGAACTCCAGTGAAAACAGTACTAGCCTAGACAATCTCTCCTCATACATCGGTCCCACTGTGCCCAGAATCAGCCTGGTAAACCTTCGCTGAACTCCCTCAAGAGCAAGAGAATCCTTCCTCAGAAATGGAGACCAAAACTGTACACAAAATTCCAGGTGTGGCCTTACCAAGGCCCTGTATAACTGCAACACATCCCTGCTCCTGTACTCAACCTCTCACAATGAAGGCCAACATACCATTTGCCTTCTTTACCACCTGTTGCACCTGCATGCTTACCTTCAGCGACTAGTGCACAAGTACACCCAGGTCCCACTGCACACTCCCCTCTCCCAATTTACAGCCATTCAGGTAGTAATCTGCCTTCTTGTTGTAATCTGCCTTCTTGTTTTTGCTTCCAAAGTGAATAAACTCATATTTATCCAAATTATACTGCATCTGCCATTGATTTGCCCACTCACCCAACCTGTCCAGATCATGCTGAAGGATCTCTGCATCCTTGTCACAGTTCACCCTCCCACCCAACTTGGTATCATCTGCGAACTTTGAGATGTTACATTTTGTTTCCTCCTCCAAAACATTGACATATATTGTGAGTAGCTGGAGTCCCACTGATCCTCCTTCCGGTAGTGATCACTGCACCGGTATAAATCTTCACCCCGACCGCCAATCTGCATCTTCACAACCTTCTGCTGGACACTTGTCTTCACTTAAACTCGGAGGGTGTCTTCCTGAGTAACTCCTTCTGGCGCCAATGCAAATCTTCACCAAGATTTAGCCTGAGAAACTCCTTCAAAGGTGTTCAGGAGTTGAGATAACTAACATTCAACAACCACAACCATCTTCTTTTATGACGGGTATGACTCCAAACAGTAGAGAGATTTCCCCCCCCCCCCCCAAATCTCATTGACTCCAGTTTGCTTGGGCTCCTTGATGTCACACTCGGTCAAATGTGGCCTTCATGTCAAGGGTAGTCATTCTCACCTCACCTCTGGAATTCAGGTCATTTGTCCACGTTTCAATCAGTAGGCAGGTTATTGCTGAGCAGGTGCTGCTAGATTTTACTGTTGATGATACCTTTCATCACTTTATTGATGATTGAGCGTAGACTGATGGGTTGGTAATTGGCCAGTTTGGATATGTTCAGCTCATTGTTTGCAGCACATACCTGGGCAATTTTCCACCTTGTTGGATAGATGCCAATGTTTTAGCTGTACTGAAACAGCTTGGCTAGGCGCACAGCAAGTCCTGGACCACTGGTCTTCAGTATTATTGCTGAAATGCTGTCAGGGCCAGCAAATGTTTCTTGATGTACATGGACTGAATTGAATTGGCTGAAGACTGACATTGTGACGCGGGGGACTTCTGGAACAGGCCAAGATGGATCATCCACTCAGTATTTCTGGCTGAAGAATGCTTCAGCCTGTTTTGCACTGATGCTATTGATGTTGCAGCCTCAGTATTGAGGGTGGGAATGTTCATGGAGCTTCCTCGTCCAGGGAGTTGTTTAATTGTCTGCCACCATTCATAACTGGATCCGGCAGGACTACAAAGCTTAGATCTAATCCGTTGTTTGTGGAATCACTTAGCTCTGTCTA